TTCAGCGACTAAAAAACAACAGCTAATATCAAACTGTATTGAAATTCAAATATTATTTTGAATTTTGACACATCTATGAAGAAATGCATAAACTTATTAATTTCGAGGGGCAACCTGAAGATATTAATCGATTTCGATGAAATTTTAGGCCATATTAAGGTCTATAGCTAACTTTTGGGGATATTACTAATTAATTTAAAAAAAATTTTTTTTCGGTCCACCCTAATATATGTATATACAATAAACGTATGTACACTCATGTATATAGATAATGTACTATACAACATATCATAGAATAATTTGTTACCGCTGCAAATAATTCTAGCGACAAGACAAACACCATGCCAAAATGAAGGCTGACAGTTTTGCTACCTCTTTGCAAGAGGAACAATATTAGCTTCTGTATGTGTATTGGTGCTACATACCACCGAACACTGTACCTACAAAATAAAGATTAGCGAAACGGATCGATAATTAGAAATACAGTAATAATAATGTTTATATGAAGTTATGAATTAATATTCTAAATTCCCTAATTGTATTCGAATTCGACAAAAATTTACTGAGGTATGTTTATAAGCATGTTATCTCTTACGCAGTGGAAAATATGTGGTCATTGTGATCTATAAATTCTTGTCCAGCATAATTTAGAAAGAACATATATATAAAGATATCGGCTACAATTATAAAGTGAATTACAAACTCTTGAATATCGTGTCCAATCGAAATAGCTTCAGAAACCTAAAATAAATATTTTGGCTTACAGTTAATTAACGTCACTAAGGCAAGTTTATAGGCAAAAGAACTAGAAAGTCAGTTTTAATTTGAAAAAACTTCTGTAAATATTTTAAAAAATGTTTTTTAACTGCAAATTAAAATTAATAAAGTTACTTAGATCGCATCATTGCATAACAACAAGATTCAACATATTACTTCAAGATTCGCGTTATGATCATTGCTAAGTGACTGTGATTATAAATAGAGCATTGGCGTCTTAACTGTTGTCTTACGCGTGTCCAAATGACGTGTATATTCTGCATTTTATAGTACAGAGGGAATTTTCTTATTATTAAAAAAAAAAAAGAAAAGTAAAATAAACTTTAAATTTTGCAATTAAATTATCTCACAAATTTACAAATTATTTCATGGGATTAGCTAACAATAATTTATAAATAATTTTTCACAAATTTACGAATAATACATGAAATGTTATTTTCACATTTTATTAAATATTTTATAAAATAGAAGGTTTGTTACATTTTGTAATATTTAGTTACAAAAGCGGATTTTTTTAAATCTTAAATTAATAGGAAAATTTACAAGTTACAAATTACAAAATTTACACAATTCTAAAAGTGAAATTTTTGAAACCAATCAAATCATAATATAACATATTGTGACATCAGGAATATAAACAAGTCTTTTTGCAAGCGTCTGTTGTTCATTGAAATAGAAAAATTTATATCATTTCAATATTTCTAAAAATCTTACGTCTTTGCGACAATTTTGCAATAAATTTCTTCATATCTTCATGCCTAAGCCTTGTAAAACAAGATCATACAGAATTTCTTTCAAAATTTAAACATTTAAAAATATTATCCAATAATATTAGATCAACTAACTCCATAAAGATTGAGGCTCAAAGTAATTACAGCGATTATTATTAAGAAGAAACGCGACTGCTGAAAACCGGAAAAAAAAAGTGCGGTGAACCTTTAACAAGAAAAAAATATTATTACGTGTATTAGTGTATAATTATTATTAGATATAATTTAAATAATTACTAACTTTATAGCTTTACGATGAATATCAACGGCTTCAATTATTTCTTTATATATTATAACATCGTTTTTTAAGTAATCATTTTTCAGCTTATTTACTGCCTTCTCAATGCGATAACTATATAAAAAACATCATTACTGTAATTATCTTTATGGATTATAAAAAAAAATTTGTTCATATATCGTATTTTATAACATAATAATATATTTCATCTAATTTTTATAAAAAGGTTCTTGTAAAAAATATATTATTCTATTGTTTGATTAAATCATTTCGCTAAACAACTATACATATAATATAGATTCTTATTTTTTAACCATAAAATCAGAATCGCGATAGCAGTAATACATTTTTTAAACGTGGATTATTGTACGTCTTATAAGTTAGCAGAACAAAATGAGTAAAATCAATTCTAACTAGTAAAATTATTTGTTGCTAAAAAATTGCCAAAGAAAATAATTTGTTGCTCGATATATATACATATATATTGTTCTACTAACTTAATCTTCCTTTAGCAGAACATCATTTAAAAAAAAAATTTATAGAGCAACAAATTATTTTCTTTTAGCAACTTTTTAGCAACAAATAAGCAATAAATAATTTTACTAGTTAGAATTGATTCTGCTCATTTTGTTCTGCTAATTTATAAGACGTGATTACTGTTAACGTGTTTAGAATAAAATCCTTTTTAAAATATTTTAAAATATTTTTTTCAAAAAATTATTATAATTTATAATAAAAAAATTTTTTCTACATATAGATATAGAATAATTCACTATGCAAGCAAAGTTTTAATCGCTTGCAAGCATAATGTATTTTGATACAACAGCCGATTTCTGTCTATGTAAATTTGCTTTAAGTAATAAACAAAGAAAATTATGTGTAAAACACAATTTCTACATTTATTCTATTATGTATTTCTTTACCTAGCGATTCTGAACATTCCACAAGCATGTTTGATGTATGTTATGCACATCATTGCTGTTGCTATCAGCACTACGCCTCCTATGCAAGCCGCTGCGCTCGAATGTAGAAAAATCAGATAGAAATAATTTTCTCGGCCAACGAAGTGCTTGGGAAGAAGCATTTGTATCATGTGACTTAGATGGTATTCATCATTTATATGCAGGATCGTAATATCAAGAATGTACAGTACAAATGGCACTGAAGCAATAGCAATTAAATTGCTCACATGAAACACTAGAGACGTATAAAAAGAAATAATTATATAAATCGTTTGATAATCTACCAAAAAAATGATATCGTTACATATATCAAAATTCATTGCCTTTTCACCATTTTTCGTCCGTGCATTAATGCGAAATATTGTGCTACTATTTTGTTATTATTTAAGTTTCTTGCTAACTTTACTAAATGAAAAATTGTAATAAAGATTATATATGTTATTGTAAAGAAACGTTCTTATTATGTACATATGTATAGCATAGGTTAACTGTATTCGATCACATACACAAAAAAAAGTAATGCAACAGAGAAAATCTTAAAAATAAGATTGACAGAGCAGTCTGCAGAAGCAAACTGTAATTAATAAACTTTTTTCTTAGTATTTAAAAGGCTACTTCTTTATTTAATTAAGTACTGAAAATATGATATTTATAAAACATGATAAATACGAATATCTATATGTATACATTTTTATTTTTAATCTAATAATATATGTATACATATATTCAGTTATTTAGATTGTGTGTGCGTGCATGTGCGCGCAAGCGCGCGATTTATTTATTTTATAACAAAAGTTTGCATTCTGTTGAATATAATATTTGAATGCCTTTTAGTCTCATGTGGTGAACAGCTAATGACTTAATGCTTTAATTTTTATTATAATTCTTCACTTTACTTCACTTTACATGCACTAAATGTCAATATACATTTTCTTACATATAAATATAGCTGTATAACGTTTCGCGTTGTCCCCGTACTTTTTCATAATGCCGATTTCTCTTTCGTCTTTTAGCTCATTACAGATACTCTGAAGTTGCTCTAATGACCACTTCATCTATTGCACAAAATACTTTTGACTCAATGTACACAAGGCGTCACAAATGCCTACTCATCTGAAATTGCAGGAGCACATATACGTATATATTATTGTGTATACATATATGTAAGACATATACATGGGTTAATATTCCTGCAAGTTCAGATGGGTAGGCATTTGTGACGCCTTGTGTACATCTTACGACAAAGTGTATACACAAGTTAATTTATCAGCAATATTTATTAATTGAATTAAAGGACTGACTTACGGTTGATCCATTAACCAGGAAAGAATTGTATTCGATCACATACATAGAAAAAAATAATGCAATAGAGAAAACCTTAAGGATAAGATCGACAGTGCAGTCTGCAGAAGCAAATACTGCAAACTATAATTAATAAATTTTTTTTAGCATTAAGAAGTCTACTTCTTTATTTAATTAAGTACTGAAAAACATGATATTTATATAATATGATAAATAATCAACTGCTCTACCGTACAGATATTATGATAATTAAATTGTAATTATTGCAGTACAATATGCACATATTTCGTTGCATCGTATATTATTAATGAAAATATAATATAATTATACATTTTAGAATAATATTGTATAAACAATATACAACTATAACAAATTAACTATCAAGGAATGCAATCGAAAACGTAAACGTACTTGATACACGATAGAACTAATCATAATACCAAGACACACGATTATTTGAAACTGAACTAGTTTTGTACGCTGATAAGGCCATAAGCCAATCAAGAGTAAAATAATCCGATTCAAGTTGAAATGTCGGGTCACAATACAGATCATCACTCCGCGAGAAACGTATCACGTTTGACAGCGAAAGAGTCGGCGACGTATGGTGTATCCCCTCCTCGTGAAAGAATCAATCGCACGCATAATGCACTTTAGAACTTTTTCGTCTTTTGTATAAGAAATTCTAAATTGCTTAATTCAACATAAATGTAATGCGAGGCGGTAGACAAATTGCTACCGTGAGATCAGAACATTCGCAGTTTGTTGTTTCAGCTCGTGTAAAAAAAGGATGATTAGTTGATCGATCGATTTGATGACCGAGGGAAATTTAATGTGCTTATTTCCTATAAGAAAAAACGTTCTTACGACATCATTGTATCATCAAAGTTCGCGCAAGCGCAGTCTCTCGACTCGTGGCAGCTTCATATATCCTTCATTCCGTCGTGTACACTCGCGCGATGCCTTTCTTCTTCGAAAGCAACGTCGATTCTTATCACGCGTGTCTATGTGTATCATGGAAATCTTATACATGTGTCGTGTCGATTATATAAACACTAATAAAGTACAAAAATACTATGAAATATAGTGTTCCAAGTTCTATATGTATAAACTTAAATTATAAAAAATTGCTCTCTTCCGCCCATACGGTGGGACACATAGAAAACAGTGTTTCATTTGTATGTCTTATTTATCTATAAAAGCATTTATAATACCGTAAATTGGTGATTATCTAAACAGTGTAACGAATATGAAGTAGTCAACCCTCTTAACAGTAGATATCGTATTATTTTATATGTATAAACTTCGTATGACTAACGTTCCATTCGATGAAAAAGGGAAACGTTTAAAGTATTTTATTGAAGTTAATGTTATTCGAAAGTGAAGGATACTTCATGTTTTGTAAGTATAATCAGTTTAATGAAAACGACTAATTTCTATCTACAAATGTCATGTACACTGCATTCACAATTAAAAGAAAGAAACTTTATATTTCTACAGTTAAACAGAACTGAAAAAAATGGATTTCTACATTCACCTACTGTACCGCAAATTGCAACACGTTGTATAATTGCAATTATCAACTCGGAAAAATTTTCGCATCATTGTTGGATTGAACACATAAGGGTAAAGTAGGATATCGATGCCTTCGTTAACTAGAATAATACATATATACATACACACATATATACAGAGTGTTCCAAACCACGTGCACCATTCAAAACAAAGGAAGTGGTTTTTATCAAAAATCCCAAAAATGGCTGTTCAAGTCAGAAGTCGATTTTTTAAATGAAAGGTGGTCTTTGTAGTTGACATATTCTTCAAAAAAATGCATGGTACAAAAGTTTCATGTCTTTGTTTTTGCATAGAATCCGAATCTGTATAAATAAAAGATACCATGTTTCATTTGAAAAAATCAACTTCCGCTCTAAATAGCCCATTTCCGTTCGGAACCGGAAATTGAAAATATCGCCATTCAATAGAGCGTACCCGATTTACTTATTAAAATTCTGAAATTTTTTATGAAAACCATTTCTCTCGTTTTTAAATGGGTGGCGTGAGTGGTCTGAGATTGTATAAATACACAATGTATAGTGTATATCTGTTTAATATCTGTGTATTTAAATATATATGCACACACTGTGTATAATTAATTGTGTTAATGTATATGTATTAATTAACATAAAAACCCAAACATGTACGTATTTACTTATTTTATACGTAACAGATCACATTCCAATTTTTTTACCGTTGCAAATAATTCCAGCGATAAGACGAACATCATGCCAAAATGAAGACTGACAGTTTTGTTACCTCTTTGCAAGAGGAACAATATCAGCTTCTGTACGTGTAATGGCGCTACATACCACCGAACATTGTACCTGCAAAGAATAAGAAATACGAATTAGGGAAACGAATTTTGATAAACTATTGAAGACATAGTAAAAGTGTATTAACAGTAACAATATTTATATAGAGTTACGAATTCATTTCCTAATTTTATAATTGCACTCAAATTTGATAAAACTGGTATATATACTATATATATATACTTATAAACATATACGATATCCCTTACGAAGTGAGAAATATGTGATCATTGCAATCCGTAAATTCTTGGCCAGCATAATTTAAAATAAACATATATAGAAAAATATCAGCAACAATTAAAACATGAAACATAACATCCTGAAAGTCGTGTCCAATCGTAATAGTCTCAGAAATCTAAAATGCAAATATATCGGAATAATATTTTGTCTTTGAATCAAAAAATTAATTTGTTTACTAACAAGGTGCAGGCAAGAATTGGAAAATTAATTTTAATTTTCTAAATTTCTTTAAATAAACTGAAGGCTAGTTATTAACAAGACAAAATATTATAAGTGATCCTTTGTTTTCTATAATTTAAAAAAATAATAAAATTATTTATCAATCAGATCGCATCAATATAAATACAATATATAATATTGTATTTATACATAAATAAGTTGCAACAACAAGATACAAAATACAACATTATATCTGTTGTAATTATTGTCTGTTCTATAGCTGTGGTAAAATATTTGTCTCTGAAAAACGGTTGATTCGCACGTGTCCGAATATTATGTACATTGTTATTTTATAAGACAAAGAATGAATTTCTTTAATAATAAATAAGATGTAACATTAAAATCTTCATAATTAAATTTTCAATAAATTTACAAATTATTTGGTAATAAAATTTTATTAAACTTTTTTATAAAATAGATAGCAGATAAATTTGGTGAAAATTTAATTGTAAAAATAGAAATTTTTTATTCTTAAATAAATAAATAAAATTAAGATATAAAAAAGAAAATTACACAATTAAGAAATTTATAAAATCAAAACATAAATTGTGGAACATCAAATAAATAAAGTGTCTTCTTACACGTATACCTATTTTTCATTAAAATAGAAAAAATATTTTATTATTTTTTAAAATCTCACATTCTTGTGACAATAAACTTCTTTATTTCTTCAAGAATTAGTTCGCCAACTGTATAACATACGTATTTTTAATCTACGTTAAAACAGATTAAGTCACAGTACATTTTCTGAACATAAATTACTGTGTTTTAGAATAAAATTCATATTTCTATTCCAAAGAATTTTTACGTTTCTTAATTCTTGCCTTTCCCTTGTAAAACAAAATCATCAAAAATTTCTTTCAATTTAAATACTACTTATCTAAAAATATATCTAATAATGTCAGATCAACTAACTCCGTAAAGATTGAGGCTCAAAGTAATTACAGCAAATATTATTAAGACAAAACGCGACTGTAGAAAACTAGAAAAGAAAATTGCGGTGGACCTTCAACAAGAAAAGAATATTATTAGACGTATGTGTAAATAATTATTACTATTAGATAATTACTAACTTTATAGCTTTACGATGAATATCTACGGCTTCAATTATTTCTCTGTACATTGTAATTTCATTCTTTAAGTGATCAATTTTCGGCGTATTTACCGCCTTTTCAATGCGATAACTATAAAGAATATCATTATTGTGAGTTAATAATTTGCTAAAAATAATTTTATTATTTGTAAATTAGTTGACTAATTATGTAACATAGATTCTTATTCTATCATTAAAATAGATTCAGTCACGACGAATATATTTTCTGAACGTAAATTACTGTGTTTTAAAATAAAATTCGTATTTCTATTCAAAAAAACTTTTGTTTTATTAATTATGTTTTTCTTTGTGGTTACCCTTGGTCCATTGGACCCCAAAAAATTTTACGGCATTTTCTATTGTTTATATAATATATTATAATATTTTATAATAATTCAAGCAAGAATTAGTATAATACGAAGGGTCAGGATAACTCCGGTATATACGCCGCACCTATTAAAAACTTAATGTATCAGGTATTATTAATTTAAAATAAATGAACTGTACTAGTAAAAACTTTAGATTATCTACTACTATGAAAAAATATTGGAAATTCTTATATAATAATTTATTTTTTATATTAAAAAAAATTCTTTAATCCCTTGCATTTTTACCGTATAAAAATAGGGGTGGGTTATACGGCTACTCACGAGTGGGATAAATGACTCAAAAAATATACAAATAATTTAAATAATAATAGTAAATAACACGTGAATTGACAACGTAAATTTGCATTTACTTCTTAATAAATAAATAAAGAACGTAAAATCATAGATTATGAATACAATATTGTGATATTATGAATATTATGATCAGTAATATATTATAAAGGGCGTATTATCATGTATTATTATTTACTTTTATATTTATAAATAAATAATAAAGCGTCTGTACTTCGGCATAAATCCCACGCGCTAAAAATGCCGTATATTTCAAACAGATGGGATATACTGGACAATAAACTAAACAAAGAATACAAGAGCTAGGCACTTGTATTTTGCTATACTTTAACTTTTACTATTCCTCTATACTTACCACGAAATAACCACGAAGCCTTTCACATTTACAACAATAATCATTTTATGTATAATAGATTATAACTTATGGTTGCGCTACTTATTACAGCGATAAATTGATTTAACTTACAATAATATTATAAATATTAACAGTAAAAAAAACTCTCTGAAATCACAACACAATACTAATATAACATAAAGGCATGTATATAGAGTAACAGAAAAAATGGTTGCGAAAAAATTACTTTCACTTCTTCTATTTTTTCTGACTTCTGCGGCGTAAATCCTTGCGCGGTGTATACATCGGAATTATCCTATAGAGATTTTTGTTGTACGTATAACATGGAACAATTCATTTGCGAGCAAAATTTAATCGTTCACATACACCTACAATATTTTGACACGACAGCTGATTTTTATTCGTCCATACAGAAATTTACTTCAAGTGATAATGAAGAAAATTATGTGCATAAGCAGTTTCTACAATTATTTTATTGTGTATATTTTTTCACCTGGCAATTTTGAACATTCCACAGGCATGTTTAGAGTATGTTATGCACATCATTAATGTTGCTATTATAACTGTTCCTCCTATACAAATTGTTGCGCCGGAATGTAAGAAAATTAGATAGAAATAATTTTTTCGACCGACGAAGTGCTTAGGAATAAACATCTGTATCACATGATTTAGATGATATTCATTTATGCACAAGACAATATCAAGAATATACAGTGCAAGTGGATATAAAACAATAGACAGTAAATTGAATATTTGAAACGCTAGAAATGTTTAAAAGAAAAAATTATTAATCTGAATCGAACGTGGAGTGTTTCAAACGACTGAGATGAGAAAACGCTAAAACTGTATAAAGTTAATCTTGGAGCTTAATAATATTTTTATATGTAAATCTTACAATCTTCAGTTTAACATCAAACTGCTTTGCCAATTTAATTGTGATATTACGTATTATTCAATTTAGAATTGCGTTTTGAAGAACGACAATTATGCACAGTCTTGCTTAAACTAAGAATTGAAGATTGAAGATTCACACATGAAAATATTATTAAGCACCAAGATCTGCTTTATACCATGTTGGCGTTTTCCAATCTTGGTTGTTTAAAAAAATAATTATATCGTTATTTGTTAATTTTCCAAGAAACGGAATTTTCTAATCATTATACAATTTATGGCCTTTAACCACTTTTTATCCGTACTAATGCAACATATTGTCCAGATTTATTTAAGTTAATTCCTAGTTTTAATATAAAATATAAAATTAAAAATATATATTATTGTGAAGAAATGTGTTTTTATATGTATATGTGTTTACATATATGCATAATAAAATACACATACATATATAAAATACATTTATGTATAATTTAAGCTTTTATCATGTATTAATTTTCATAAATAAATTACATACATTCTGTTAGAATGGTCTACGCAAAAAAATAAGTCGATCATAGCAGAGTGTGCCATTTGGACACAGTCCAAATCAGACACAATGTAAATGGACACAGTTCCAATTGGATACAAGTTGAAATGGACAAATGTCTCCATCAGACATAATACCAATCGGGCATAAGTTGAAATGAACATATGATGGTTCCAATCGAACAATATAACGTAACTCAAACTTATTTCTAATTTGAAGCTAAAATTAGATATGGATTAGTTTATATTGTATCGGGACGAAGGCGCAAGGGTTCAACATCCATCCTCCGCCTACGCATTATTCACTAAAGTGCATATATAATTAATATGATACCTGTGCTAGTTAAAGTCCAAATTATGAAGTAAAACACCTTTATAATTAAAAATCATACTTTAAACAATATATACGTAACAATACATTCCAAAATACGTTAGCGGAGGAGAGACGAAGCCCATTTCCCTATACTCCGTAATAATGTAATCTAACCCAAACTTAATTTTAATTTCAAAAATCAGAAGTAGATTTTTGAATTAGGTCGTAAGATCCTATTGGGATTATTATGTATCTGTTTCAACTTGTATTTGATTGGAACTGCATCTGATGGAGATCATTACGTTTCCGTTTCAATTTGTGTCCAACTTATTTAATGCGCATCTAGGACTCGTCTCTTATTGCATCAAAATATATTTAAATATCTTAGTTGTTTAAAAAATGCTCACGTGGTTAATCAGGCCAATGATGTAACAATTTTTATTGTAATTTGTATGACTTTACAATACCTATTAAATGTCAATATACAAAGTGTCCAAAAAATTCCGGACACCTGAATAATTTCTGAACGGTTCGAGATATTGGATGAAAGTTTATAGAATTACAATGGCAAAATGTAATCTATTATTTAACCTTGAAAACGTCCACTTCAACCCTCCGGGGGGGGGGGGCGAGGGGGGTTGAAAATCTTAAATGGCATGTGGGGTCAAGTGTGGGCTCGTTTGAAAGGGCTTTTTGAGACGAGAAGAACACGAGTTCGTTGAGGTCTCTATGATTTTTTCTCGCAGAGTTATCTTCGCGCATGTTCCTGAGTGGATGGAAATGCATGCGGAAGAATATATGTGTGTGTAAGGAACATGCGCAAAGCCTTATCGTCCTCACGTCCTCGCTAGCGCTAAATAACGTTCAAATAAGCATAACTCTGCAAGAAAAAATCGTAGAGACCTCAATGAACTGTTCTTCTCGTCTCGAAAAACCCTTTCAAACGAGCCCACACTTGACCCCACATGCCATTTAAGATTTTCAACCCCCCTCCCCCTCCGGAGGGTTGAAGTAAATGTTTTCAAAGTTAAATGATAGATTACACTTTGCCGTTGTAACTTTATCAATCCAATATCTCGAACCGTTTAAAAATTATTTAGGTGTCCCGGAGACTCCCGGAATTTTTTAGACACTCTGTATATTCTCTTACATATAAACAAAATTGCATAGCGCTTCGCATGGTCTCCGCACTTCCTCATAATGTTGATTTCTATTTCATCTCTTAGTTCGTTACAGATACACTGAAGTTGTTCCAATGACCACTTCATCTATTGTACCATACAAAAAATAGTTTACAACGCTCGAGTCATTGTAAATTTTGCAACAAAAATTTATGTGTACAAACTAATTTAGCGGCAATATTTATTTAGTAGAGTACGTTAAAGGATTAACTTACGGCTTGTCTATTAATTCGAAAAGAGTTGTATTCTATCACATACATAGAAAAAAATAATGCGATAGAGAAGACTTTAAAGATAAGATTGATAGTGCAGTCTGCAGAAATAAAAACCGCGAACTATAATTAATAAACTCTTTTAGCATAAAAAAGATTACTTTTATATTTAATTACAGAGAAATAAAAATATGACAAATAACAAACTGCTTTGCCATAATAGTGCGATAAATTTTAAGGAGGATACCTTGCTGAGGAAAGTAACACGCTGAAAATTAGGTGATTTTTTGGAATTTTTTTTTAGGAAACTGTACAACCAATCCTTTTAAACTTATATAACTTCTTATACTATTAAACTAACAAAAAAATATTTTTTTGCCAGAAAAAAATATTTATTATGCAAATAATAATAACATTTATTCGGCGGTAATGGTGTTTGGCGGCGTGCAAGATAACTCAAAAACTATTTATCCGATTGATTTAGACCTTTGCATAAATACTTCCCTAATAACTTGAACCACTGTTTATAATATTATTTAATACAATAATTTTTATTGCACATTAAAATCAATAAATATTCGACAAAATCACTTTTTTTTCAAGTGTCATGATTTTCACAATTATTTTCTTTAAAAATAGGTTCAGTTAATGCGTAAACTCTGAATAAACAATAATTTTTTTTTAGATTTTTTGTTTCACACAAATACAAGCGACGCTACATTGCACGCCGCCAAACACTATCACCGCCGACGCGCCGAATAAATGTTATTATTACTTGCATAATAAATACTTTTTTTCTGGCAAAAAAATATTTTATTTTTAGTTCAATAGTATAAGAAATTATCCTATAAAATTTAAAAGAATTGGTTGTACAGTTTCCTAAAAAAAAATTCCCAAAAATCACCTAATTTTCAGCGTGTTATGAGGTGCCTCCCTTAATTATTACAACACACGTTAATTCTTCTTATATATTATTAATAAAAATATAATTACATTTTTAAAAATAATGTTTTGTAAACAATTATCATAACAATTAAAAACGTAGACCTACTTGATATACGACGGAACTAATCAGAGTACCAAGGCACAAGATTATTTGAAGCTGAACTAGTTTTGAATTCTGATAAGGCCATAAGCCAACCAAGAGTAAAACAATCCGATTCAAGCTGAAATTCTGGGACACAATAGAGATCATCACTCCGTGAGAAACGTATCACGTCTGACAGCGAAAGAGTCGGCGACGTTCCCCCTGAGTGTATCCCCTCCATGTGAAAAAAATCAATATACGTATACGCAAACACACACTTTACTCTAGAATTTTTCGTCTTTCGTGTGAGAAATTCTCAATTGCTTAATTCAACATAAATGTAATGCGAGGCGGTAGACAAATTGCCACTGTGAGATCGGAACGCTCGCAATTCTGATGTTTTCTGATGCTCGGTAATAAGAACGGGCTATTAAGCGATCGATCGATTTGACGCCAAAGGAAATTCAACCGATGCTTACTTCCCACAAGAAAAATAATGACATTTCTAATCGAAATTCGCGCAAACGCAGTTTGTCCTTTCGCATCGTGACAACTTCGTATCCTTCATTCCATCTTATACACTCGCGCGATGCCTTTCTTCTTTGAGCTCAACATTAATTCTATACACCTTAGGTAAGAATTAAAGTGTCGATCATGTATCGTCAAAATACAAAACATTACAAAATATCGAACTTTTTTCAATTCTTTAAAATAAGTGCTATTATGCAGGGTCCGTCACGCAACTGGGACGGATTGTAGAATCTGTTCCGTTGAAGATACAAATAGTTCAAGCAAAGTAAAATAGTATAATAAAGTTTATTTTTCTATTGACTCATTATTTTCTAAGTATGATGTAACGGAAAAGTGCAAATAAATCAATTAATAAAAAAGAAACATAATTACTTACTTAAAAAAAGCATGTAATTTCATATGGCAAATTGCGTAATGTTTTTATAACGTGATTATGTGTTGTTTGCACCAACCTATTCGTTTCGTTATTTACAAAAAAGATTAAAGTTATCAAAAATAAATAGTATTTACGACATATTTTATGTATCATGTCAAAATATGTTAACATAAATATCTTTTTTGCGAGCACTTTACCATAATACGAATGTTTAGAAGAATTTATTTGTGCAAAAAAGAATATATAATTTCATTAAAGAAAAATATATTTTTTCGATACATCTTTGCACATATGGAAAAAATAAATAAATAGAAATATATTATTATATTATTCAACTTTTATCTATATCATTTTTTCTTCAATGGAACAGGTGTTAAAAACCGTTCCAATTGCGTGACGCACGTTGTTATTCAAAAACAGTTCGCCGAAACAAGGAACACAACGTACCTATGTATATTATTTGAAATATGTGTGTGCGTGCGTGGACATGGCATTGCGCGCGCGAGGGTGTGTATAATTACATACTGAACCCCTTGTAATACGGTATCATGCAGGATTTGCCTGAATACAAGAGACGGATAGGAGGACACTATCGGGACATACACAATTATGAATTCTCGTATCTAAACAGTGTTATCAATCAAAGTAATGTCTGGTTGTTAACAGTATATATTTTCTCCACGTGTAAGCTTTGTGTTACTGACAGTATTCTATTTTTTTAAACAAAAGAATTTACTATCATCTTTTTTACACTGTATAATATAAAAATAATATAAATATTACATATATATATATATATATATATATATATTAGTTTTTATATTATAGTATTGAATCTAATTTTATTCAAAGATGGAAAATTCTTCATATTTCGTAAGTGCAAACGATTTAGTATAAAACTCAACTAATATTTCACTTTACTTACGTTACAGACATCGTTATGATTTATAAAAAAAAAAATCGTTATTTTCTCGGTAATTTTATTCAATAGTTAAACATGAAAAAAATTTTCTTACACTCACCTATAGCATCGCAAAGTGCAATACATTGCCCGATGAATTCGGAAACGAGAAGATCTATTGCATAGAACATACAACAGTAAAGTAGGATATCGATGCCTTCGTTAGCTAGAAAAATATACACACATCTTATGTCACGTGTTATACTGCGTATCGATAAAAAAAAAGAGACGCGTGCGCGTGTTATATATAACACAAGACACGTGATGATTTTCTTTTACCGTGGCAAAAAATTCTAGAGACAACGTAAACAGTACGCCGAAATTAAGAGTGGTAGTTTTGCTACCCCTTTGCAAAAGAAACAATATCACTTTCTGTACGTGAGCTGGTGCCAGATACCACTGAACGTTGTACCTACAAAGTAGGACGAGAAAACGAACTAATAACTGGATAACGCAATAGTAATCTCTATGTGATTTATCAATTATCTTTGGTCTCCATTAAACTACAGTTTGTAAAAGATTATTAACACATATTTGTATTGTAATCTCTTACACAGTGGAAAATATGTGATCATTGTGATCCGTAAATTCTTGTCCCGCATAGTTCAATAAAAACAAATAAACAAAAATAATTCCTATAATTATACAGTGCATTGCAAAATCCTGATTACTGTCTCCAAGCGACGTAATTTCAGAAATCTAAAAGAAAACAAAGGAACAATTAATTTCTTACACAATTAATGATTTAGTTAAAACGAGACAATAAAAAGTTCCTTCAAATTTGAATGTTATTTATCTAAAAATATGTAATCAAATGAACTAACTCCATAAAGATTGATGCTCGTAGTTATTACGCCAATTATTATTATGATAAAACGCGATTGTTCGAAACCGGCTAATACACACGCGGTATACCTTCAACAGAAAAAAAAAATTAAGTCATGTATTTGTGTAACTGATATAAGATATAAATACTAACTTGAGAGCTTTTCGATGAATATCTACGGCTCGAATTATTTCTCTATACATTATACTCTCGTTCTTTAGGCTAATACTATTCAGCGTTTTTACTGCCATTGCCTTTTCAATACGATAACTACAAAGAATTTCAATACTATGATTAGAATTACGGAGATTTACGGATATACTGTATTTTCTAATGTCATGAAGTATTGCTACAGTAAAGTTTATGAAACAACTAATTTGCTAAAAACAACAATATTTTATTATTTGCAAATTCGTCCATTAAATACTTATATAATGTTGAATCCTATTCTATCATTGACAAAATTTTGTTACGACAAGAAAATGCACTTTCTGGATATATTATTGTTGTATTTGAAAATAAAAATCATATTTTCTTGTAACACAAGTATTTCTCATTTTATTAATAAAAAGGATTATTAAGGAATAAAGATTAATTGTGCAGATCTCATTATTCCAACTTCAGCTAATAATTGCGTTGCAAGTCCGACATTGATTCGACGCGTAGTTTAAATAATGTGAATAAATAATAATTAAATAATGGATTTTAAAATTCATATAGAATTTATTAGGCACCAAAATCTAACCGCGATTGTAGAAAGCTCTCAAATTTATTTGCGATATTCACTTACGCGGTCTAGTTCAAATTGATATTATTTATAATAAAAAAGTTTTTCTCAAAGCAAAGAGTAAATCATTCTTTAAGGAAAGTTTAGAGACCGTTCTATAATACATCGTATATCGAATCGCAAGCCGTAAAAATTGACCAATCACAGTTGAATTTACGGAGAATACTCGACTGTGATGATTGGTCAATTCTTACAGCTTACAATTTACGACGTATTGTAGAATGGGCTTAATACGTAATATGCTGTGGAACAATTTTGTTATAACAGCTAATTTTCTTTTGCATACAAATTTCTATTGGATAACAACAAAAAAGATTTTGTCTACAATCGCAATTCCTTATACATTCATTCTTATACATATTTCCTCACCTGGCGATTCTAAACATTCCACAGACATGTTTTAGAAGTAATATACACGTAATTCCAGACGCTAACATTGCTGTCCCTCCTATATAACATGCTAGTCCCATATATAGTAAAACTAGATGAAAATAATTCTCTCGACCGACGAGATGCTTAGGTAATAACATCTGTAGCGTACTACTTGAACTATATTCATTCATGAATATGACAACATCAAAAACGTATATCACAAATGGCAATGAAAAAATAGACACCATATTGAACAGATGAAACACTAAAGACATTTAAAAAAAATAAAATATATAAATCGTTGTTTGCTAGTCATAGAAAAAAAATATTATTGTTGTATATTTCAAAGTACATTATCTTTTACCATTTTTTTGTATTAACACAATATAGTAATTGTAAGTAATTGTTTAATTTTTTAACAATTAAATATAAGTATATTTTTTGTACTTTTAATATAACTACAATATAATTAAAATATATGTACGTTATTACGCGCAAAAATTTGTATTACGTTACTTTATTCTTATTATATATAAATAATTAAATTTTGCATTATATTAAAAATTGCATAACACTCAAATGCACTTTCGATTAAAATTAACGTAGTTAGCAAAATTAATGTAATAATTTAATTTTTATTTACTTTACTTTATGACATGTACATAAGTAAATATTCTTACATATAAGTTTAAGTGTGTAACGTCTACCGCTTTCTCCATATTTCCTCATAATATCGAGTTCGATTTTGTCTTGTAACTCGTTGCAAACACTCTGAATTCGCTCCAATGATATTTTTATCTACGAAATCAAAAATAATTTTCAACATTCGTCTCCTTGTAAATTTCGAAGAAAATTAACAGTGTAAAAACTAATTTATTATTTTACATTTTTATTTAGTTGTTTATATTAAAAAATTAACTTACCATATGGGTGTTTATACGGCATGCATTGTATTCAATTGCAAAAATAGAGAGACACAACGCTATAGAAAGAACCTTGAGAAGAAGATAGACAGTACAGTCTGCAGAAAAAAACACTGCAAACTGTAATTAAGAAATATTTTTAGAAAATACCATTAAGAGAATTTATACTTCATTATATGTAATAAAGTAAAACAAAAAATATAAAATAATTAATTGCTTTGTCAAACATGATAATGCAACCTATGTGCGACAAATACTAGATTTATTCGTGTTACTTAAAATCTAAAAATTTTTGTATTTAGTACTAAAACAAAATAAATATACATTAGGATTATAAAGAACAAGAAAACAAAGATTTTGACAATAAGTGCAAAAAGTGCAAGCATCACAAACAAACTTACTATTTAATTATTTATATCATACATGGTCAGACTATATACAGGATGCCCCAAAATTCGCGAATCAAAATATTATAACAAAAAAGTCTTCAAAAAATTAAGTAAAAAGTATTATTTGTAAATTTTTATTTTAGGTTTTATTTTAGCAGTTTTTGAGATACATATAAGCGTTTAAATTTAGCCAATTATAATTTAGTATTCGCGTGAAGTGCGCAATCACTAACACTATTGACATGCTCAAGACATTTGTTTCCATTTAACCGTATTCTATAACTGGCTAAATTTAAACACTTATATCTAAAAAATTATTGTTTAAAATAAAAATATACAAATAACTTTTTTGCTTAATTTTTCGAAGACTTCCTTGCTATGATATTTTGATTCGCAAATTTCGGGACACCCTGTAATGTGTAGTAATGAGTTTGATTGTTTTCTCTTTAGATTGGCAAAATCCTGCAACTTGCTACCATTTGTTAACTCTTTAAGCTATTCTCAAGTAGAAGAGTGTAGAGCTACGCTAGTTGGAGTTAGAGCGGAGAATAGACCAAACAAACGTAGTTAGAGATAACAAGCTGCAGGGTTGCCAACATAACAGGAAAAAAAATCAGTGTTATTACTTCATTGTACCCTGTACATTATTAATAAAAATAAGACATAATTACATTTTAAAAAAGTACATTCTGATCAGCTGCCATAACTATAATAAAAAATACAAGCCTACCTGAAATACGATACTGGTAGTAAGAATACCAAGAAATAGGAATAGCTGAAATTGAACTAGTATCGAACGCTGATAAGGCCATAAGCCAACCAAGAGTAAAAGAATTCGAACCAAGCTGAAATGTTGGGTCACGACGCAGATCATCACTCTGCGTGAAACGTACCGCGTTTGACAGCGAAAAAGTCAGCGAGAGGAATAGCGTATCCCCCTCCTTGCAAAAGACTTCATAAAGAATATCAAAATTTTTCTCCTTTGGCATAAATTCTAAATTGCTTAATGCGGCGTAAATGTAATGCGAGGTAGAAGGCAAATTGCTACCGTGAGATCGCAACACTTGCCATTTTGATGTTTTAGCACAGGTGAAAGAAGGTGATTAGGCGATCGATCGACTTGACACCGAGGAAAATTCAACCGATGCCTGCTTCCTATAGAAAAAAAAAGAACGTTCTCACGACATTATTGTATCGAAGCTCGCGCAAGCGCAATGTCTCATAGCTGCCTTATATCCTTCATTCCGTCGTGTGCCGTCAAACGATACCTTTCTTCTTTAAAAGCGACTCGATTCGTTCACCTTACACGTGTGCAGTATCGTCTATATAAATACTGCCAATAAAGTACGAAACGTCGCGAAATGTAGTTCTCAAAAGCTCTGTATATACTTGTAGTTTGAAAAATTTCACATTTGTCCATATATATATATATATATATATATATATATATATATCTCATGTCCACATGTAGAAAACAGTATGTCATTTGGAGCAGATTATTTATATACGTACGTTAGCCTCTTTATCTATTATTTATCTATTTCACCATCAGTTTTCTTTATAATTAGTTTATCTATCCTTTAAGATACTGTCTAATAATGCAACTTTTAATTAAAAAATAGATGAAAATTTATTATTTATACTTAAATAACTGTAAATTTCTTATGTTCGTTGCACTACCTAACACGCAACGAACACAAAGCAGTCAGTTCTCTTAACAGTAAATATATGTTATTAAATCCGTATATGTGTTATTAAATCTGGTTTGACTAATGTTCTACTCGCTTAAACGAAAGAAAAACGTTTGAAGTTTTTACATTAAAACTATATTCAAAAGTGAAGTATAATCAATTTAATATGGAAATCAACTAATACTTCTCTTTACTTACGTTACACACTACGCGTCACAATTAAAAAGGAAAAAATAACGTTATTTTCTCGGTAATCTTACTTAATTAAATAGAACCGAAAAATTGATTTTTACACTCACCTACTACACCACAAAATGCAATACATTGTCGGAGGATGAATTCTCGCGTCATTATTGTATTGAACACACAACAGTAAAGTAGGATAATGCTGTTTTCGTTAGCTAGAATGAAATATATACATATATATATATTTATATATATATATATATATATATGCAATATGTATATCTAGTATCGCATATCTGTGTGCCGTATAAAATATGTATACAGGATGTACAAAAAGTGCCGGAATTTCTCAACATTTGAAAAACACGCGACTTACAATTAGTGAAAAAAGTTTTTAATATAAATTACATAAAATTAAAATTAAATAATAAATTAAACTGTTATAACTTGTTTGATATTTGATAAATTATTAATCCTAATCGGTATTTGCTCTTATCTGTCCGATCCAGTATACTCGACAAAACTTTAATGTATTATATCTTTGCTTAAAATTAATATAAATAAACAATTTTTTTTTTCATTTTGAAAGTCCAAATCTGAAGAGTAAGATTATGTAATCTAAAATTATGGTTAATTTAAGATCATGTAACTTAAAAGTATGAAAAACATTTATTATAAACAATGTTTCACAGTATTATCTTAAGATTTGGCGCGTAATTGAAGAAAATGTTTGGGTTTGCTGGACTCGCAAATACCGATTAAGATTAAAGTTATCATTGTAAAAATAATTATGATATTTCTCAATAGAAATTCCCACGTATGCATTTAACATAAAAATCTGGTTTTGGCATACAATACACTTAAGATAAGTGTCAGTGATTTAAGACTTCTACGACTTTTAAGCTTTTGATGCCACAAATACGTTTTGTCATGAGAGCAACGTATTAGATGATATTGTGTAAAAATAAAAAATATACTATAAAAACACATAAAAAAGAACATATTAAAACAATTTTTTTTTAATGAAATGCCAGATATTATTGAGTATTAACGATAACAGTCAAATGTATCTTTATTAATAAAAAAGTTACAGCATATATATATATATAAAATAAAACGTCGGATATGCCATATTCACAGTGGCACTAAACAATTAAATCTTAAAAAAAAAATGTTTGTCATATCACATTTATCAAATATCTCGATACTCAATAAAATATATAATCGATAAGCTATAAGCAGGGATTGGAAGTTACTTGTAAAACCGTTAACCGTTACTAGTTATTTTTTTTTTGGGTAACGAATTGGTAACGATGTCATTCTATTTTTTTGATAACTGTAACGGTAACGTAGTTACACTTTTTCAGTAACGGTAACGAATTATACAGTAACAAATTATTACTTTTATCGTTACTTTTTGTATTTATGACATAATTTTCGTACGTACAATCTTCAGTCTTTAACTAGTATTCACACAGTTTATTCTTATTTTAAAACTGTTTTAAATAATATGTTAAATATTAATATGGCTCTGTGATTGGTTTATGACATCTTAAGAATGCCATAGTTAATATCAATACAAATTAAATTGACAGGTAATTTAATAAGATATTTACGTTATAAGCATCTTAAAATAATTTAAAAAATTTATTGTGAAAAATATCAACTAAATTGCGTTTCAAGATCAAAAATTTAATTGGCGCGTAGTTTGTAAAATTGGATATACATAATACATAAATTCACTTTGAAATATTAAGCACGAAGCTGGAAGCTCTAGCTATATCGCAAAGGCTTTCCTTTTCCAAGTTGTATTTTTATATATCAGTCTAGTGTCATTGTTATATGTATATTGCTTTTATTAACGTAACATAAAACTGCATCTTAAATTGTTTGAACTGGCCTTATTTTAGCATTAAAAAACGAATCGTTACTTTTAAGGTAATGATAACGAGTTATTTTTAAAAATTAGTAACAGTAACTAGTTACATTTTTAACTCGGTAACAAGTAACGAGAACTAATTACTTTTAAAAAGTAACTTTTCATTCCCTGGCTATAAGGTAACGTAATAAAATGTTTTTATTAAAAAATATCAATATTACCTTTATGTAATCTTGCTAGTGCTCTATTGATCGAACAAATATAATAATTTATATAACAGTTTAAATAATGTAATATAATAATTAGTATAGCTTTTGTCTATAGTCAAACATTTTTTACTAAAATGTGTATTTTCCAAAATATTAAAAGATTCCAGCACTGTTCATACGTTCTGTACGTAGATAAGTACATGTAATACAGAACATATAATGGTATTGGATATACTTTTACCGTGGCGAATAATTCCAGAGACAACGTAAACAGTGAGCCAAAATTAAGGCTAATACTTTTGCTACCTCTTCGCAAGAGAAACAATATCAGCTTCTGTACATGTAACGGTGCTACATACCATCGAACGTTGTATCTACAAAATAACGGTTAGAAAACAAAATGATAATTGAAAATGCAATCAATAAATTTTATTACGTGCAAGTATGATTTATAAATTGTTCTAATCTTCATTACACCAGAAGAATTCGTAAAAGATTTATTGTGATATTTGTAAGAACACATATACGTATTAATTCTTACGCGGTAGAAAATACGTAGTCATTGTGATCTATAAATTCTTGTCCAACGTAATTTGTTAAGAAAAGATATATAAAAATCACGACTACAACTATAGAATGCATGAAAAAGTCGTCAATTTCATGTCTAAGCAAAAAAGCCTCAGAGACCTAAAATATAAGTATTTCGTTAATTAATCATTTTACTAAAATAAAAACATAGAAAATTTTTTCAATTGCATTATTAGAAAACGTTATCTTAAAAAAGTAATGCATTACTGTTACCGTTACTTTTTGTAAAAAATAACTCGTTACCGTTTCTCGTTACTGATTTTAAAAAGTAACGCGTTACCATTACTGTTACTTGAAAAATATAAATGATTCGTTACTTTTTCATTTCTTTCTTGTAATACTAAAATAGTTTTATTAACCTTTAAATTATTATATCGATCTCACAGACCGCTATTGAAACGTTACTTGTCAACCATTTTCTTATTTGTCACCATTTAAATATATTTTATTTCTATTGT